TATATATATATATATATAATCTTGAAACATTAAAATCACCCTTAACAAAATTGAGCGTAAATTTAGATGGAGCTCACCATTATTTTACTTTCTAAAATTGAATTTTGATTAATTTCTCTTTTTTTTCAAAAAAGAAATAGATTAATTTTCACAATAGCTAAATTGAAAGCTAAATATTTTTAAATTTGTTTATTTTTGTATTATAAAAATAGATGTAAAAAAAATTATTTTTTCTTTAACTTTTTAGTGTTTTTAAATTATTTTAACATAAAAATATATAAAAAATATTATTTTAATATATTTATAAATAAACAGCAATTTAATATCAATCTACCCTAATAATAATCATAAACATGGTTCGACATTCTTGCTTTATGGCCCTTTTATGGGTGAATACAATGCATCGATAATTCAAATGCCAGGTGTCCAAGTCTCACTGATTTCAAGAAAATAATTGCGGAGGCTGAGGGATGCTCCCCGTCTCCACCAAATATTCTAGGCACATCTTGAGTATCGTTGACCCCAAGAAAATAAAACAAAGATCAAAGGGAAACGAGAATGTTTCTAGTGGCACTCAAAAATGGACTTTTACAAGATCCCAAGAGCCAGCCATCCCAAAGGGCCCAATCGAGGTTTCCTTTTGCTTTTTCGGGTCCCCATAAGTGAAATTGTATTGGAGATGCGGTTATAATTATTTTTTAAAGTATATATTATTTTAAAATGTATTTTTTATTTTTTTTAAATTATTTTTAATATTAATTCATCAAAATAATCTAAATACATTAAAAAAATTTTTAATTTAATTTTTTAAAATATAAAAACAAATACCACCTATTTTTTTTCATGCCCCACAACCAGCACCATCCACGACCGCATGATTTTCATCCACACAACCTCGACTTCTTGACAGCCTGGGATTGTAAGGTGATAATACTCCAGTTCACTTGGTGGATGCTAGAGGCCTGGAGCTATCCATCCCCCACCTGGTCTGCACACGTATCAAGAACATACCAGGATGTCAGCTTTGTGAGTCTAAAGACTCGAAGCCCATTCAATTTATATCCTAGGATCAATTATTATTTTTCTAAAAAAAAAATATGATTTTGTTACTTAAAAAATATGAGATTTTTGGTATTAATCCAGTCGAAACGATAAGATTTTAACAAATCCCAGTTCAAATTAAAATTCACACTTCTTTTATACTGCAGTCCAAGCTTAAAATACTTCATAAACGGGGCATGGGATGGAGCTAGAATTTTTAGGTCAGAAGAACGACCGTGAAAGCTGTCAAGTTTTATAGCATTATAATAGTGAGTAATTGTATTTAAATTAAATTGTTAAATAAAAAATCTTAAAAATAGTAAATGCCATGTCATGGACAGATGGACGTATTTTAAAAGATATGAGAGACAGATGCCAAAAAAAGAAGGAGAAAAATTTAAACTCCTAAAATTAAAAAGCGGATTTTTTATAAAAACAATTATGAGGATAATTGCTAAACCCTCGGCCACGGATTTCGCTTTATTATTTATAACCTAATTTGGGACATGTTTTAAGCTAAATTGAAGAAATATTAACCTATTAAAATAAAATCCAAGTGACTTATCCGAATTAAACCAATCGGATCAATACCAAAAATTTATTATAAAAAATAACACCATTTTAATAAAAATAATTAATACAAATTGTACCCAAGAAATTTTATGAATTAATCATAAAAAACCAAGTCTACCAACTAAACTAGAGAAAGATAATTAGTCAACTAAACTATTCTCCTTACCATTTGAACGAAGGCAGTCAATGAAATATGCTTTTCAATTTTTTTTGACTAATTCATATTTAATCAACTAAACTAGAGAAAGATAATTGCATTGGTTAAAACTCAAAAGCCCAAAGGCCTTTGTATGATAGAAAAGCCCTCCATCAATACTCCCCGTTTAACTTGTGGCGGTGGTAAATCACCAGAAACAAAAGCCTAAAATCCAAATCCAAATCCAACACCATCTCTAAAAATAAAATATTTAAAAGAATAGATTGCCCCAATTTTTATTTCTCAAAAATAAAAATTCTCCCCCACGCTTCCTCTGGCATTCGAATCACTCAAATTCGCGTTCTCGATCTTCAATTCAAATCAAGTTCAAGAAACACGGTATGAAAATATTCTTACCTGAATAAATAATTTAATTCCTTGTTTTTTATTTTAAATTTATCCTACCCTAATTATAATTTAGGGTTTGATCGATCTCTTCTTTATTTCTTCAACTGCTTCAATTTCTTCCATCAGTAATTAATAGTTTTACGCTTTCTAGAATCTTTCTCGCAATCATTAATTACGCTATTAATTTGTTAATCAAGCCCTAAATCTTTGTTTTCGTCGTGATTTTAGCATTATATTTTTTTTTGATAGACTGGAATGATCTTGTCAATGGTGTTTCTTGTTTTCAGGGGAAATTTGGTGGCAAGTTTTTGATGAACAATGACGGTTCCGATGGATAATCCAGTGGATCTTTCATCGCGGGACCGTGTTCAACGTCTTTATGACAAGGTTTGTTGTTGTTTATTTGAATATCCCGTTTTGACAATTGAGGTTGATTGATGTGTTACATTATCTTTGAACTCATGTCTACTTATGATGTTTTGGGTTTGATTAATCATTGGATAATAATTTCTCCAAATTATGTAGCTCTATGTGGAAAGTGTTAGTATGGGATTATGTTGATAAAAAAGAAGGCTGATAATATTTAATTGTGATAGTCTCTTGCTGATATTATGTAGGATGTTTGTGTGTAGGATGCTGTAATACAATGTTGTTGTAATTACGTGTCTTGCTGATATTTTTGTATTTCTGCGTGATACTCCGTCAATCTTGAATATATGAGAAATGCGATGTCCCCGCCTCTTGACTACACCAACAGGAGAATTCAAAACAAGAAACCAAAATAATCCTGATTTGGTTTCAGGGGTGATTTCAAGTTTTGATAATGCTTTAAGCCAATTAGATAGGAGTAACTACTCTATCTACACTGTGACGATCTTGTTCATGTACTTGTGCTAAATAGAAATCAAATGTTGAGTGTTATAGATATGTCATCAATTTGAAATTTGGCAAGCGTGAAGTGAACATGTTCTAAACATATTTAAACCAAGTCCTGGGAAGGGAGATGCTTTACTGTCATGGCTGGTGGAACAAATGTTAAAGCACCTGGGAAGAGTGTTATGACTGGTGGAACAAATGGTGCACATAGGTAATTTCCAAAGGAAGTATAATAGATTTGCAATGAAAATTCTTGGGGACCAAGAAATTTACTTGGAGAGGGGGTGTCAAGAAATTGGTTGGCGGGTGCTTTTAGTTCCATATAAATAGGGTGTACATTATATCTTTATCATACGTTTGCAGAGGGTTTGTGAGTATCAAAGCATTCTCTCCAGGCATTTATTCTTACCTTAGCTACTTTAACATGTTTCTTTCAGTGGGTTTTTGATGAGTGAGGTGTTTAGGAAATTGAAGGATTTTGTAGCCTATATGTTTCTTGTCTTAATGGTAGAGAATAGATACTAATGTAGTTGAGAGGCTTGAGTACAAAAACTTTGATATTTAATATCAACGGTTAGGATTGATAGCAAACTCAAGTGCTAGAAATATTTACATCGCCTTTTGCTCGTTCATGAAGGTCTGTAGGTTAAGGTGGAAAGGAATATATTATAAGTGGAATGGATAGTTCACATAAAAGACATTATACTTTAATGAATAGGATGTTATTTACATAGGTGTCATGAATTGTGTGAATATGATTTTATCTTTTCAACTCTCTCTTGCTACTCGCTTATAAACATTTCTTTTTCACCAAAATCAGCACATTGAATTTTATTCTTACGCTTGATCATAAAATAAAATAAAAATTATGTGAATAGCTAAAATTCTTAATTCTTAAAAGAGCAATGAATTTATTTCTTTGAAAGAAATGTAGCTTTCAAACCCCACAGCATGTGAGAGTATCATACATTTTGAAACTAAATACAACTGTTGGCAGAGCATAAATTCAACTAACACTAGAAGTTTCAGAGAATTACAAGTTCTTGTATGTATGCACGCATGTTATCTCACAAAAAACAGGACAAGTAGTTCAGGCTTCTATGTCTGTCTGGTTGAGCTTAGAATAAGTGATTGACCTTTTTGCCGTATAACTGCAGAATGTTGAGTTGGGGAATAGGCTTCGGAGGTCAGCCCAAGCAAGAATTCCATCTGATTTTACTGTTTGGCAACAGATGCGAGAGAATTATGAGGCAATTATCCTAGAAGATCATGTTTTCTCTGAGCAACATGAAATAGAATATGCTTTGTGGCAGTTGCATTACCGGCGTATTGAGGAGTTTCGAACTCATTGCAAAGCTGCTCTAGCTTCAAATGGTTCAGTTACATCTCAGAATGGAACAATGATTGCAAGACCTGAACGAATTACTAAAATCCGTTCCCAGTTTAAAACCTTTCTGTCTGAAGCAACTGGATTCTATCATGATTTAATGTTGAAAATCAGAGCAAAGTGTGGTCTTCCTCTAGTTTCTTTTTCAGATAATTTGGAGAGTCAGAATATTATGTCTGGAGAAGGAAGTAAAGCTACTATGATGAGGAAAGGCCTGATTTCCTGCCACCGTTGTCTGATTTACCTTGGTGACCTTTCACGTTATAAAGGCTTATATGGTGAAGGAGACTCAAAAACAAGTGATTTTTCAGCCGCATCAAGTTACTATAAGCAAGCTTCTTCATTGTGGCCTTCAAGTGGCAACCCTCACCATCAGGTTTACTTTTTTAATTCATTATTACCCTATGTAGTTCTCATTTCACAAGATTTGTGGTCTTCTATACCCTTCCCTTTTAGGTGTCTATCAATTTTTTACATTGTGTTAACTTGCGTTCTGTTTATCTCAGCTTGGAATATTAGCCACTTATTCAGGGGATGAATTTGAAGCAATATACTGCTACTTTAGGAGTCTAGCTGTTGACAACCCCTTCTCAACTGCCAGAGATAACTTGATTATTGAATTTGAGAAGGTATGTTCTTATACATGTACTAGGTACTGAAATAACTGAAGTCTTCACTTATTTCCTTTTTGTCTAGGTAAGTCCCCTTCAATTTTTTTCTGAAAATGAACATTTGGTAATAACAAAAGAGAGAAGAAAAGTAATAGGGCGGGAAAATGTATGATTCTAGAATCTAGAAGGCATGCATTAATCATTACCTCATTTTCCTTGACAGAATCGTCAAAGTTTTTCCCAGCTCTGTGGGGATGCCAAAGCTTCGTTGACGAAGAATGCAACAAGGCAAATTGGTAGGAGAGGAAGAGGCAGAGGTAGCAAAATGTCTCCCTTGAAAGACAATAAAAAAGATGCAAGTGCTCTAAAGAAAAACACATCCAGTATTCCTGAAACTTTAAAAGCTTTCAAAATTCGATTTGTCCGACTAAATGGCATCCTATTTACGCGAACAAGGTATATTACCATGATGTATTATAGGATTGATGTGTTTTTTTTTTTTTTGCCCGGTCATCTGACCTTTTTGCCTTTTGTTTTTCCAGTTTGGAAACTTTCGTAGAGGTTCTTTCAATGGTCAAAAGTGACTTGCTTGAACTTCTGTCATCTGGGCCAAAAGAAGAGTACAATTTTGATTCAAGTTCTGAGGATAATGGGCTTGTGATTGTTAGGCTTGTATCCATTCTTATATTCACAATCCATAATGTGAATAGGGAAGCTAAGCTTGAGTCATATGCTGACATATTGCAACGCTCTGTTTTGCTTCAGAATGCTTTTACTGCCATCTTTGACTTGATGGGGCTCATTATTAAGAGATGCACACAACTGAATGATCCTTTGGCTAGCTTTCTGTTGCCTGCAGTGATGATTTTTTTGGAGTGGTTAGCCTGTCATCCAGATTTTGCTACTGGCATCGAAGTGGAAGAGCATCAAGCTGCTGCTAGATTGTTCTTTTGGGAGAATTGTATTCCTTTTTTGAACAAGCTTTTGTCAAATGGGACCATGCCCATTGATGTGGACGGAGAGGATGCTTGTTTTTCCAACATGAGCAGCTATGATGAAAGTGAAACCTCCAACAGGCTTGCATTGTGGGAGGACTTCGAATTGAGAGGGTTTTCGCCTCTTGCTCCAGCACAATTGATTCTTGATTTTTCAAGGAAGCAATCTGTCAAAAGTGATGTTGGTGTCAAGGAGAAAAAGGCATGTCTTCAGAGGATTCTATATGCTGGAAAAGCTCTTGCAAACCTAGTTCGGGTTGGGCAGCAAGGCATGTATTTTGACTCAGAGTCGAAGAAATTTGCCATTGGTGCTGAGCCTCAAACAGCCCATAGTTTTGAGGTGGCTGCTTCTCTTGAAATGTCTTCTTTAAATTTTTTGGGGCACAAATATCCAGCTGTGGAGAAATTGAGTGTGGAACAGGCTCCTCTATACATGGATGGGGAAGAAGAGGATGAGGTGATTATTTTTAAGCCGTTGATGACTGATAGGCACTTTGATGCCAATGCTCTTGAGTTGTCTGCTTTTGAGGTTCCAAGTAATGCCTCTCAAGGCAACACGGAGAGCTGTATAGGATCTGTTCCCGTCTCATGTGATTCTTATTATCTGTCAAATGGTTTCAATAGAAGCACAGTTGGCCCTAAATCTCCTGCATCTGTTGCCGCCCTGCATTTTCAAGCATTGCAACCTCACGCTTCAAAATGGCCTTCCAGATCTGAAGGATCCATTTCCAATGGGCTGAACAACTTCAATTTGGTAGGGAATGGGCTTGTTATGAAGAGTGGGTTGCAAGAACACCAAGCAGTTTTGCAGCCTTCTGCAGTTTCACTTCCTCTTCCGCTCTTTGTGAACCCTAGTGCTTGTAACCTGCTACCAGCTAAGGTTTCTGATACTGTAGTACACTCGAAATCTGAGTCAGTCATGTCTTCTGTCTCTGGTTTTGACAGTCTGTCCTTGAAGGCATCATCAGTGTTCTCAGCTAGTTCAAGATTGAATCCAGTAAGCCGTCCTGTTCATCACCTTGGCCCTCCACCTGGATTTAGCTCTGTTCCTCCTAAGGCCAAATGTGAGATCTTATCAGGCGTTGGTCAGGAGAATTATGATTTGCATATGGATGATTATAGCTGGCTTGATGGATATCAGCCACCATCATCAGCAAAAGCAACTGTGTTTAACAATTCTATCAATCACCCTGAACAATCTTGTAATCATACGAAAGCGAATGATGGCCTGACAGGAACAAGAATGTTTCCATTTCCTGGCAAGCAGCTCCAAACATTTCCGATGAAAATTGAAAGCCAGAATGGCTGGTTGAACTGCCAGCTTCCTGATCGTCTGAAAGTGTACCAGGAGTGGCAACAGCAGCAACTTGCAAAAATAGGCTAGCAGTCTCTTCCCCTGCTGCAGCAGTATCGTGGATAGTTACTTTGTATGGTCATTTCTTTGTGTGAGAGATCATTAAGAGGATGCAGATGGTAAGTTCATAGTATTTTTGTGATTGATGACAATATAGCGAAGTATACATTGCAACAAACCTTTACTCTCAGATCTTGCTGATCCATTTTCTTCATTGGGCTATGAAGAATATTTTGTGGGTGAACTATCTGTTTGCTTGGCATGACCAAGTAATCTTCATCTCTGCAGTGCTGCAAATGTTGAAGTCTTCATTGGAGAATGGTTGGTCTTGGAGTTTTGCTGGTGCTTGCTTTTAAACAGGTTTGTCTCTGCCTCATCTGCATATTTATTTACCAATTCTTCCAATGCAAATGCTTGCCATTTTTTCCATGCACATCAATGATGAAATGTATTTGATTGTGACAGTGATCTGCCTAGTATAACCTCTACAACATTGCAAAAGGCACATGAAAGGCATTTAGTTGGATTTTATTGTTTGGTTTGTTTTGAGCATGCTTAGACCTCAACCATTTTTATTTTGTTTTGAAGAAAAATGAATTTGATGATGTCCTGGACTAGTGAATTAACTTCAGCACATAAAATGTCCTTCCTCATTTGAGCAAGTGAGGATCGGTTTTAATTTGCAGTTACAGAGGTAAATGGAGTGTGCAAATAAACAGACAGAGTTTAAAGAAGGTTGACTAATAAACCTCACATGTGATCAGATGCCTTCCTGAAACACAAATAGGTGAATTTAATATTTGATTTAGGTGTCCTCCGTGTGCTAGAAGACCGGTTCCCCATCTCTCGTGTGTGTGATTGATTTGACCACTGATCGAAGCTAATGTACCACCTTTGAAAAAATTAGGAAATTGTTCTATTAGTGATGAAAGGAAGATAGGACATCATCTATTTATATCTTGCTGACATCTTAACCTGTTTTCACACCCTTAAAATAATTGAGTGCTGATTACTTATTTGTGCTGTGTGGAACACTCATTCTGTGTGACTTAGCTGAGCGGGTTTCTTGTTTCTTAAACAGCTCGCACCAAGATTCGAGGTCTCTATGAATGGCAATCATTAAGAAGATGGGAATGGGATATGTGCGCTATTGATGTTTCCTTTTCTGATGAATTGAATTGGCCCATAACCTGTGCATGGAAACGTAGGGTTCTCCTAATGTCCTCTGTCTGGGGGAATGAAATGGTAGCTATTTTGCATATTTAGAGGAAAAGCTGTATGTCAAAAGAGAATGCTACTTCCTGTGAGGCGCAGCTGGATACTGTAGGTTGTTTGTGAGCTGCCTTGGAGTTTTCAGAGTTTAAGATTTGCTTGTCTGTGCTGCCATCAATATTTAGAGATCGACTCTGTCAACGTTTATGAATAAGGTTTGTGTTTGAGCTGTCAGACAATAATAAACAAGTACTTGAAGTCTTATGATACATGATTGTGTAAAACTTGAAACTGCTTTTTCAATGTCATTACTATTTCACGCTCCATCTGTTATCTTTTGTGGATTTGATTAGTAGAAACACAAAACAAGATCAACTGGATTCAAATGGTTTGTGGATTGAATAGGATTGAATTTAGTTTCTTAGTGGCTCTGCAACAATTTGATAAATAAACAAGCAAACAGGCTGTGGAAGTGTATAATTTGGCCATTAATAGATTCATGTACAAGTGCTAGATTTGGAACTATACTTTGAGGGAGTCGTCATCCTGTTCATATCCTGCTGCTGCTGTATACAGCATAAAAAGCTTCAACTGGGCTATCATGGTGGATCTTGGTTGAGGGTGGATCGGGAGAAAACCTTGATACAACAAAAAATGTTCTTAGGCTTTGTTTTGTCTATCTCATCCATGATTGAATATGCTAAACATCCCGTGTCAGAAGCTGGTATCAACAAAAGTTTAAAGTGAAAGTCCATCCATATAGGATCAACAGCTGACATTGAAGTTGTGTCATGCTGGGTGGATTTGCATGCTCTATCTTCTTGCCAATGTCAGTCATGAAGTGTGTCAATTATTCCGAAGAACATTACAACTACACAAAGCTCTTCAGTTGGCCCTCCTACGAGCAGCTGGGCTGAGTCCAGCTGCCATCCCTCCTTTAAAAAAAAAACAAACCAAGAGACTGTTGGGCTTTAATCAGGCCCAATAAGCTGGACTGAGATTAGTCATTGGGCCCAATTAGCTCAGCTCTTATGCAAAAAGGTGTGTTTGGTAGATACACTTGTAAATTTCCCTTTAGTTTAACTTATCCTTATTATAATATCTAGCCAACTCAAAAACAAAAGAAAAAAGAGGGGTTATTTTGAATCCCTCGTGTATTTTTTTCAATTATTTCACTAGGGTTGTAAATTTTTATTGTAAGCTACTGATCTAGTGTTAAAAATACTGCTTTCCACCAAAATTTTAAAAATTTCAAATAATTTTTCATTTAAAAAGTACAAAAATATATTTTATTTTGTATGTATATGGCGAAGTTCCTAAAAAATAGATTATATTTGTATATTTTAGTATATTAAAATAAATCACAAAAATAATCTTTTTATTTATACATGTATTTTTTGATTTAGTAATTAGTTTATTAAAACCATAAAAACTTGACCGACATTTCAAAAATATATAAAAATATTATTATTCTTTTTATTATGTGGAATTATAACTTAGATATAAGATATATTTCTGATATTAAATAAAATTTTTTTTATTGTTATGTTGATATTAGAACAATTAAGTTTTTAACTCGATAAGATAAAGATTTTTTTATAAAGAAAAACTTTTCTTCAATCTTAAACAAACCAACAATTATAAAATATAATATTTTTTTAGTTTATATTAGACAAACAAATAATATAATTTATTTAAAAATATATTAATAATAAACTAATTTTTTTATATAAATTATAAGAATAGTTAGAATTTTTAATAATTAAAATATAAAATGATGACTTTTTCAGCTTGAAAATACCCTTTCAGCTTGAGATCTCTTCTTCTTAGATAATATTTGAAAACATCATATTTTTACATACCAATCGAACTCTCTCGCTTTGAAAGTGTCATAAGGAGCAATTTTTCATGAGTACATGAATTGGAAAGGCACTAACATTGATCAACAACAGCACACACATGATGTATAATCATATTTTGTTAAGTTTAGCAAGAAGGTAGACGGAGGCAGAGGTGACTCCAGGTATGAAGACTTCATTTGGGATCGACTTAGGCGCTACTCGTTGCTTGATGAAGTATGTGATTAAAGGAATCCCAAAGATGAAGAGGAATGTGTCTTTTGAGCCCGAACCTGTAAACCCTGATTTGATTATTATTTGTTGGATGATCTTTTGGAAGTCGTCCTTTCCCAAACGTTTTCCTTGGCCCTGGAAGTTATCCTGCATGCATTCAAATTTTATTATTGTTAATAAGAGACCATCTTGAGCATATGAAGGATAAAACCATTATTTGAGTCTATCCATGGCTAACATTGCTATTCATTAAACATAACTAAGCACATCTCTGCACATTTAACACATCTTCTGCCTGCTCCTAACGACTTTAGAAACCAAAATAAATGAAAAAAAAACTTAACATAGAGGTGCTCAATGCACCCTATTTTTTTGTGGAGATTGGACCATTGATGTTAAATCCAATCCGGCTGCTGATAGAGGATCTTACCTACATGAGATTTCAAATTAAATAAAGTGAAAATTAATTTATTTAAATTCAATTAACTTGATGAGTTCATAAAACCTGGCTCAACTTCTTCTTTTTTTCCTTTTAAATCCACATTGTTTTACTTGTTTTTTTTAAAAAATATTAAAACAACACTATTTTTTATTGATCCGATCTACCAATTCAAAACCCAACCCGACTTCTTGTTTTTCCTTTCAAATGCACGTTAATTTATTTTTTTAAAAAATAAAATATTAAAATAATATTACTTTTTATTGATCCCGACTAACTCACCATTGGGTAAGACTAAGCCTGGATTTAATTTTTGAAGGAACTCAAGTTTTTAAAAATCATAAAATATTTATAACTTAATGTTAAAATAAATAATGAGAAGAATTAATTTTTTTTATATCTACGTTAATAACGATCCTTATAAGCAAAAAAATACAAAGGAGAAGACAATTATAATGCTTACTCTATAAATTTCCCTGAGAGTCTCATCATCTGGGAGAAGGATTTGCGTGCTCTTAAGGCTTCTGTTAATTTCTCTGTAAAGAACAACAACAAGAAATAATTAAGTTAATCCCAATTACTCCTTACGAATATTAATTATTTTTCAAGAACATTAAAAAATAAAGCCAAGAGATCAACATATAATGCAAGAAGAAGGTCAGTGTTTGTATACTGGACAATCTCGCATACTGCTCGAAAGAAATATGGAGCAGAGATAATCTTTTCCTGAGCTGCAAGCTTTTTGAAGGCTTCTTCTCCAAAATATTTTTCATAATTACTTTCTATTATGTGGCCTATTTCCCTTTCCTTGTTTTCCTCACTGCCTGCATTCATTCATTTTTAAAGCGGTGTTAGCCTGGTTTCTCACATTATTTAATTTGCATAAATTTCAACAAATATATATATATCTCATTAGTTTAAGGCTTCTCGCTAAAAAATTTGTCAAAGAATTAATGGATTAGATATCTTGTAATATATATATAGTATGAAAAATAATGATTTATCTATTTGTTATTTAATATAATAAATTTGTTATTTTTTTATTAAAAAAATGCAACGATTCCATTTTAAGCAGGAAAAAATAGATGTAACAGGTCTAATGAATAAGTTCATAAATTGAGGAATATGAGTAGATTTCAAATCCCAACCTCTCATGTGTAATAATAAATAAATAAATAAATATAAATTCTTGACAATCTTATAAATGCAATAACAACTTGGCTGATTTGATAGCCAAATCAGGTACTTTTTTTTTCAAATTTGAAAAATATTACATCTATTGACAGAATCAATTCCAAAAGAAAAACAAATCCATTAACAAGATCTAATCTTTAAGTGTATGAAGTTTCTTAGGAAGGAAGAAATGTTTCTATGATTTCTTGATAAGAGAAGAGAACTCATCACTTTCTAAGATTTCAAGGCCTTGTTCTTACTTTCTCTGGCACCAATTTCTTTAGACAATATTGACAACAGTCCAAGCAATTCATCTACACCTTCAAAATTTAAAGCCCTAGCCTTAAAATAGCTCGACAATAGCCCTGTGGGATTTCATTAATTTGTTCTTATGAGCAACTCCCAAGACATGAGAACCCCATACAAAAACTCCAAAAAAATGCATGAAAGATATCTTTTGATTATATAATTTCCATTTGCATCTGTTTATCAGCAACAATAGTATAATATTTTCTTAGAAATTCCCAAGACAAATGCAAAGTGCAATCTAAAACAACAAACAAAAAAAAAAACTCGAGAGAGAAGGCCAGAACCGTACCAGGAGCTAATTTCTTCAAGGACTGGCCCATGTCTCTTCGCAAAATTATGAGAACAAAGCTTGGGGGCTGATCGAAGTATTAAAAGGAGAGAGAGCTTTTATATGTTCATGTGATCCACGAGGCAATGAAAACTTGTATGTTGGGCAGAGTATATTGCATTCTCTCCTGGGAAGCAATGCTAAGAAGAAGCTTATACTGAATAAAACATAGAGTTAAAGAATATGGAAGATGATTCGTACCTTTCTGTACGCATTTTCTACGTGGTTTAAACTGCATTTAGTATGAAAAAGGCATAAAAATAATGTTTTTATCCAAACCAAATGCAATTTAACATTATCACGATCACTGTTGATTAATAGATTACTATAAGATATAAATTACAGTTTAAATGGGCTAAAAAAATTAATCAAGAAAGTGCAGATTTTAATTAGTTTGGAATTGAGATTTATTTAAGTGGAATAAATATTACTAATTGCAAGGTTAACTGGGGTGTTTTTTTTAAGAGATTGGCCAAATAATTAAAAATTAAAGTGGAGTAAATCTTGAGATAATTATTAAAAAAAAAAAAACTTGCTTATCTTGATACATCTAATTGGGATAAGGATTGTCCTTTTGAAATAGTTAAAAATCAAGATTTAATCTTAATTACTATAAATTTCTAACTTGAACAACTAATGATTAGAATAAATCTAAATCAATTAAAAAGATGACCCGATAAAATAATTTCCAAATATTGGACTAATGGATTGATGGGCATCATTATGGACGTCACATAGGATCCCATATATAATCCAATAATAAATTGAATTCAATAAACATGATGCGTGCATCAAATTTGATAAAGATAGCATGGTTTGAGTGCTAAACCGCTAGATTAATCAACACAAAAGTTTTGAGAGGTTTGTATTGCGTTTACTAGTGTGATTTTATTAATTTTTAAAAAAATATTAAAAAAATTATTAAAAATATAAAAAATATTTTAAACTTTTTAAATTTAAATTTGACAATTATACCAAATTCAATCGTCTTGGGTTTAACAACCATAACAAACTTAAGAGCCTTGGATCTAGTAACTTTGTTAAACTCAAATCACTTGGGTATAATAGACATAATCTAATTATTTTTTTATAAAACAATATTTAAACGATCCTTAAAATATTATAAACAAAAATTCTAATTACTTTTTTTATTTTTTTATAAAAATAAAAATTTAAATTATCTTTAAAGTATCATGAATAGAAATCTAAGTTTATAAATTATTTATAAACAACAAATCATTACAAAAATTTAATCTAACATTTTATATCTAAAAACTCAAATCATATCTTTCTATTGAAAAAGTTTATTTTTTATATTTATAAATTTGTTATTGCTTCAATATAAATTCTATTTTCTATCTTTTTTTCTGTTTTTTTATGAATTTGTATTTTTAAATTTTTTTTACTCAAACTCATTGTAAAAAAATAAATGTTTATTTAATGGGTGGGCATTTGTGATTTTTCACCAAAGACAACATTATTTTTTATTTTTTTTAACAATATTAAACTATATGTATTTAGTTTTATTATACAGTTTATGTAGTTTTTTTCCTTAACTTTCTATCATGTGTGTATGAACCCATGGATTTATGTTGAAAATAAGGTTTTTTTTTCTTTGGATAAGACTGAAGTCACTTAGATCTAGCATGATTATCAAACCCGAGGCACTTGAGTCTGGCCTAGTCACCAAACCCAAGTCACTTGAGTCTGATATAGCTGTCAGGCCTAAGCATGTAAGTCATGTCATACCTAGATATTGACTTAAAAAGAAAATTATCTTGTCAAGCCTAGATGTTTAGGTCATGTCTACACGATTTAGTCCTTACTTTGTGATAGTTACTAGTTACTATTAGTAAATTTTTTTAAAATATATTAAAATAATGTAATGCCTCATTTGCCTTTAAGGACAGAGAAAAACCATGGGATTAAAATATTTTAGTTTTTAAAGTTTGTACACACAACTCATTAAGAAAGGCTGTAATTTTTAGAGGAGATAAAGAGGGACAAGAAAAGGTGTTAAATGTAATTTGTTGTTTTTTATATATTAAAAAATAAAGATATTTTTATTTATTTATTTAACTCTGGGTGTAAGGTGTAAGTTTTAAAAGTATAATAAAAAGGTGAAAAAACAATAAAATTATGAATTTACGGCAAATCCCTGCTTGGCTCTATACTTAGCAATGAAACTTGGACGTTGGGCAGAGTATAATGCATTATTTTCTATGAAGCAATGCTAGGAAGAAGCTTACACCGAATAAAACATAGGAGTTAAAGAATATAGAAGATGATTCTTGACGATTAAGTTATTTTTCTCTTTGCATTTGTGTATCTATGTATATGGTTTAATTAAATTGTACTTAGTAAGAAAAGATATAAAAATAATGTTTTTTTTAAAAAAATATTTTTTAAAATTAAAATGATATTACCACGTAGACAAACAAATATTAAAAAACTTATTTATCTCGATACATCCGATCAAGATTAAAGTTATATTTATAATTATGATAAAATCATTATTTTTATATAACAAAATTTATTTATCTTGATTCATCCAATTAAAATTAAGAATTTATTTGAAATTGTAATAACGATGCAGTTTAAAATATTTTTTGTTTAGAACATATTAAAATAAAAAAAAATATTTTTGATATCAATACATCAAAATAATTTAAAAATATAAAAAAATTAAAATTTTTTAAAATACAATTTATATCGCATACTCAACATGCTGATTGTCCTTTGAAATAGTTAAAAAAATAAAATTTAATCTCAATTAATGTAAATTTCTAACTTTAGACAAGTAATGACTAGATAAATCTAAATCAACCGAAAAGGGTGACCCCGAATCAAATATTTTCCAAATATTGGACTCATGGATGGGTAGGCATCATTGTGGATGTCACCTAGTATCCTATAATAATTCAATAAACATGGTGGGTGCATCAAATTCAATAAAGATTTGCATGATTTGAGTGATAATTGTTTTGGACAGTGGTGAAGACAGGAGGATAGTTGTAGGACTTGTAAAAAATATTTATAATATTCCCATCATAAAACTAGTAAAATTTCAAATTTTACCCATCCTAGAAAAATTTTCTTAATTTTGCACCCCTGAAAACAATTCTTGGCCCCGTTCCATTTTTAGGGTAATACATCCCTTGCATAAATCAGTGCATTTCTTTTAAAAAATTAAATCTAAAAGGTTGAATAATTAAATATTTCGTCTTCACTACCGAGATAAATTCATATTGTTCATCTGCTATTATATATTAATATGATAGTCAATTAATATTAAAACTGTAACAAAATATTAACAATTATCAAAATTTTAAAAATAGATTTTTAAAAATAACCACAAAAATAGTTTATCACATCAAATTTTTTATACATTTTAAGATTTTTATTACCAGTGAAAAACTTGGAATAACTCAAGAAAATTATAACAAATAAAAGGAACACAAATGACCTGTCATTTATTACTCGTCAACGAGATGGATGATAATAATTATTTATGAATTTAGTGTCTATTATATTTACATCTTATTTATTTATATTTGATATAAAAAACTAAATATTAATTTCTTATTCATCTATATATATATATATATATTATTTGAGCATTATTTACTATTCAATATAAAATAAAGCAATATATCGATATTAGGATATACATATATATTATATTGAACTTAAAAAATAGAAATATTATATATATTAGATTCAAATTAAGTTAGATAATATTTCTACTCAGTGTATTATATATCAAATAAAATAAATATTAAAAAAACTCATTCTTTAGGTCAAATGGATGGAGAACATAAATGGTGATCCTATGAATCATTAATAAGGCGTTGGATCTTGATGGCTGCTCTTTTTGTCCAAACGTAGGACGTGTAACACACTGCCTGTCCCCCGCGATTGTTATTGAGAAAAAAACAAGCCCAGTTTAACGTCCACTCCAATCACGTGTCCCTTGTGATGACGTGGTCCGTATTGAACGGAAACGTGGCACCCTACAAAAATCTATCTCCAACGCGCATCCATGTATGTTGAGGAAAAAAACAGAAAATTAAATGATTTTTAATTTTTAAATAAACCAGGACAAGAAAAGGTTTTAAATATGACTTGTCGTTTCTTGTATATTATATATAAAGATAATTATTTTTTTAAATTTTTATTTAATATAGAATATAAATTTTTATTTTTATTTTTTAGAGTACAATAAAAAAACAATTTTTTTCTGGTAACAGAAAAGAAACTTTTACATTATTCTAAGAAAAACAAGAGTTAGAAAAAACCTATCAACTACGTTTCCATCTTCTTTTAAAATTTATTTATATAATATATAATTGTGAATTTTCTTCCTTCCTCTATACTACCTTCTAGAATTGTACTATATTACAAATCTTTTAATATAACAAAAAATATAGAGATAATAAAGAACTATTATGATTAAATATTATCTACTAAGTTAATCTTATAATTTTTTAATTTAATTTTTTATTTAGTTTTGATTTAAAATTAAAATGTACGGAACTTCACTCGATATGATTTTATTAACCTTTTCAATTGAAAAATAATTTAACTGGTTGGTAAAAAAAAAAATTTGAAAAATAATTTAACTGGTTGGTAAAAAAAATTTAATATTGAAATTATAAAATAAATAAAGTTGATAGAAAAAATTTTATACTCACATTTTTATTTCACACGGATTTTAAATTAAATCATGTGAGAATTATCCCGGTATAACCTGATAAGCTTGAAAAATTTAAAGGTAACTTAATCAACTAATAAAAAAATTTTGATGATAAAATTAATAAAAAATCTCATAATCCAACTTCTTGATTAGTTTTAATTAAAAATTAAATTGAGTAAAAATTATCTTGATACAATCAAGTTAATTTAACTACTCTAAAAATAACCTAAATAGTTGTTAAAAAATATAAATATAAAATTAAAAAAATATGAGAATGAAAAAAAATTGCTATATTAAAAAAAAAAAGAGACAGAGATTTTTCCAAGTATGTTAGTTGTATTGGTAATACGTAAGGTAAACAAATAATAATTCCTTTAAATTTCAACGAGGATATGACTCGTTAGATGCTTACACGTCACAAGGATATTCATACC